CAGGTTTGAGAAATGGGGAAGGTGTATCGATCAACGAGGAAGGGGGAATGCGGATATTTATGTTGAATTCTTTCAAACTATTTTTACCTCAAAGAATCGTGTAGATAATATAGAAGCTCGGGTGGCTGATCTACCTATTGCTCGGGCTATAACTTCGCAAATGAATGTGATGCTGACCGCTGAAGTTCTGATATCGGAAGTCCGACAAAAGGTCTTCTTGATATGATCCAAACAGGCACCGGGATCGGATTGGTTTAGTGGGAAATTATTTAGAGCATTTGGGATATCATTGGTGAGTTTGTGGTTGAATTTGTATGCTCCTTTTTTCGAACGAAGTGGATGTTGCGAACATTTAATCACACTTGGCTGACGCTTATTGCCAAAGTGAACAATGTGGAGAATATGCGTATCTTCAGACCTACAAGTTTATTCCAATTTGTGTATACAATTATTGCCAAAATTGTCTGAACGATTGGCCAAGTTTCTCCCCCATATCATTTCGCGCGATAGAATGCGTTCATTTGTGAAAGGCAGATAATAGATAATGTCCTAATTGGGCACGAATTGATGCATTACCTTAAGATAAAGACTAAGGGTAATAAGGGGTATATGGCATCGAAGGTTACTCTGGAAAAAGCCTATGATAGAGTTGAATGGCTATTCTTATTTGCGGTCTTGGAGAAAGTGGGGTTTAGCTCGACTTGGGTCTGTTGGATCCAGGAATGTTAGAGTTCTTCTTCTTTCTCATACTTATGAACGACACCACTTTTCCCCCGTACTCTTTGTCATTTGTATAGAGGGGTTTGCACCGCTACTTCGAAAAGCCATTGATGAACAGAAATTAGCAGGGGTTAGGGTTAGTCCTAGAGCCTCGCGTATTTCTAACCTTTTCTTTGTAGATGATTCATATTTGTTACTTAGGGACTTAATGCGAGAGTGTGAAAATCTGCTTTAGGTTTTGATTGAATATGAGGGGCTTAGTGGGCAACGAATCAATCTTGCTAAATCAGCAGTATGCTTCAGCAAGTATATTCTGCCTGCAGAGGAAGAAACTGTATCTCTCTGGCTCGGCGTAGGAGTGGTAGGGGTGTAAGATAAGTATAAGATAAGTATTTGGACCTTGGTTGCTTAGTCCAAGATGGCTACTTTTTTATATCTGGAAGAGAAGTTGTTGCAACGTTTACAAGGCTGGAAGTAGAAGGTGCTCTCGTGGACGGCAAAGGAGATGCTAATAAATCAATTGCGTTTTCTTTACCACTTCATGCTATGTCTTGATTTAGGCTTCCTTTATCCCACTATCACATTTGGGATAAACAAGTTGCCAGAATCTGGTGGGGGTTGAAGGGGACGTCCACAGATTCGTTGGATTTCCTTGCGGAATTTGTGACGAAGTAAACATGATGCGGGAATGAGATTTTTTCATTTTGAACATTTTAATCAGGCTCTCCGGGCTAAGATTGAATGAATAATTCATAATGAACCTGATTCTCTTTTGGCCCAGATTTATAAAGGAAAATACTTCCCAACGAGGTCTTTCCTTAGAGCAACTGTACAGTCTCGTCCATCGTGTGGATGGCAGAGTATTCTCCATGGTCGTCTCCTTCTCTAAAGAGGGTTGCGGTGACAGATTGGGAATGGGCTCCAGGCCTCCATCTAGCATTCTAGTTGGGTCCCTTGTACTCAACCACATCATCCTCATTATAATCCCCATGCGATTCTGGAGGGCAGTGACCCTAAGGTGCCTGATCATATGGTTCCACGCGGAAGATGGTGTCAACAGTCTCTTTTGCAGCTGTTTCCACCGCGCGTAGTTCGTGCCATCACAACTATCCCTTTGCCCCATGTGGAGATAGAGGATACGTTGGTATTGTACGATACGTGTGACGAGGTGTTCATTGTCAAGTTTGCATATCACCTTGCGATTTTGGTGGATAGACAAGTTGGGGATTGGCGACCCACCGTGAGCTTGATGGATAGAGCAAGTTGGCTGTGGATGTGGGATCTCCAGATTCCGCCTAAGTTAAAGTTGTTTATGTGGCAAATTTTCCATCGTATTCTTCCTACTACAGAATATATGATTGACAAAATGGTCCAAATTTTGCCTCGATGCCCACTATGTTGGTCGGAATCTTAAACGGTGGAGCACCTCTTTTGAGAGTGTCGAATTGCTAGAGCCCTTTGGATTCACTCGGGTTTGGAGCATCTGGGGCAAGGGCTGCCACGTCAGACATTTTCTCTTTTTCTTAAAATATACTTGCTTTGGATGGCACAATCGGATCATAATATGGCCCTGGTTGTAGTCTAATGACGTATTTGGAAGTCTAGAAATTGGGTTGTCTTTGAGGGAAAACAATTTCAAATTCCTCATCTGATGCGCCAGTACCATCAACAGCTCCATGAATGGGTTTACTTGCTAGAAGATAGGTTGGCCCTGACCTCGTGTCAACGTTTGATTTTTTTTTCCTTTGCTGCTTCCAGGATGTAATCTTCGATCTTTCTATCAATCAATATGATTATCTCTTGTTAAAAAAACATAGATGACCGTTACATTTTATTTACAAATAATATTCAATGTTAATAAATTAAGCTCAAGTCATAGCCCAAATTCAACCATTAATAATAAAAATAAAAAAAATCAACGCGATTGGGTCTGGCCAAACCCATACTTGTCTAGCCCAAAACCAATCCTGTAGCAAGCTTGCTCCCCAAACTGCAATTTTTATATAAAAGAACCCTTTAGGCTCTTGCAAAGAAGAAAAAAAATCAATTCACTAGTTCTTCTTCTTCTTCTTCTTCCGTCCAAAAGGACTGCAACAGCCAGAGAAGGAAAGAAAATTTCTTCTTCTTACTCACACCTACATTTTCCCTCCAAAACCGAAGGAAACCAAAAACCAACAGAAAACACACAACAAATCACCAAGCAAAACCCACTATAAATTGACACAAAAGACAAATAAAAAACTCCATTCTTTTCTTTCTCGTTTAGCCAACATCACCACACCAAAAATACAATTAAATAAAAGAGAAGTTGGGCAAAAGCAGAATACAAAAGGCAATAAAACATCCAAGTGGCCGTCAACAAATCATCCACAGAAGTCGGAAAGGAAGTTGCAGTAATATCCCCAAACTTCAAGCATCAAAGATTGGTAACCATACCATCTAAACATCACCATTCATCATCATTTCATTTCCTAACTACCTTTTCCTTTTTCATTCCAGGAAAACTACCACAATTTCCCCCTAATCATGGCCAAAACCATCTCTAGCAACTACAATTAAGTTATACAAAAACCAGCATCACTACCCATAAAATTCAGAATTTTCAAAGCCAACAAAACCATAAACCCGCAAACTCCCCAAGCATCACATCTCAGAATCACACACCATAGAAGATACTATGCATATAGTTCAAATAAAATTCCACCAAACGACCGTCAACACAAAATCATATTTTGACAAAAGTAACCTCAAACCCTCATGTCAGCCTATAAATGCCACCAAAATACCATATACAACCACAATCCGAATCCCAATAAACAAAATGTGTTAGAAACAAGGTTTCTAACAGGTTCGGGATTGGGGAATTTAGCTATAGATCAATTAGGGATTGATCTAACTAGGGATTGGGAATTGGGGATTTAGAACAAAGAAGAGGGGAGGGAAGGTTTGCTGCTGCCGCAGCTTTTGGAAGAGAAGAGGGAGAGGGGAAACACAGGAGAGAGAGAGAAGGAGAAAGATTAGGTTTTAGGTTTTTGTTCTGTGATTGCTTAATCAAAAATAAGACCACTACTACAGATTATATAGCCTGCATAATTCCTATCTGCTACCCAAATAATAAAACGTTACAATTGACTCCATGTCTATTCCACAAATACCCCAAATAATCCCCCAATTACTAAAAACCGACAATAATACGAAATGACCAAAAACTGCAAATAACGTGTTTCCCACATCCCCGCCTTCTTCGGAAACAACCTTGTCCTCAAGGTTGCGGGTCCTACTTCATCTCTGGAGGCCCTTCTTCGGCTGCTTCCTCCTCTGCTTCATCTTCCCAACGCCCCACCAGCATCATCAATTCGGGCTTGGTGCACTTATGTCCCACGGTGAACCTTTCGTCGCAGTTGAAACACTTTCCCTCCCTTCTCTTCTGCTCGATCTCCTGTGGTGAGAGCCTCACGAAACCTTTTGGGGGTGGCCTAGATGCTTGCCGACTGGAGATGACTGCGCCAGCTGGCGACAGCCCGGTGCCAGTGGCCGCACTCGCCCCTCCTCCGCCTGGTCCAACGCCACCTCCTCCACTCCCACTTGCCTTTGGGAACCGCCTGATCGTGCTCCTCCAGCTGGCCAACTCCTCCTCCTTATAACCTGCAAGACGAAAAGCAGACCGCAGCGAGTCGAGCTCGAATACCTTAACCGCCGCGGATATCTCTGGCTTTAGGCCAGCCATGCACAACCCAACCAGGGTCTCCTCTGGCACTCCCTTGCATTGATTGCCCATCTTGAAAAACTCCGCCTTGTACTCCGTTACTGTCCCAGTCTGGCGCAGCTTAGCCAGTTGCTCCGCTGCCCACCCTTCTGATTTGCCAAACTGATACCACACCTCTTCCTTGAACAAGGGCCAGGTGATCAAGGTCTGGACAGCTGCGCATGATCGCTCCAGCCACTCCCACCACTGTAACGCGTCCCCCTCTAGGTAGAAGGACGCCAGATGCGCCTTCCTTTCTTCCTTGGTGGGGTTATTCTTGAACCACCTGTCAGCTGCATACAATCATAGACTTGCATCCTCCTGACCATTGAATTTTGGAAACTCAATGGTAGGGGGTTTGGCCCTAAACACCAGATTGCCATCAAAGCCTCGAGGATAGCTGTCATACCTTTCGTACCCCGGAGCTCGATCATGATAGCCCCGCGGTCCTGGCGGCCCTCTGCTTCGGCCCCTCTCCTCATTCTCCTCGCGCGGGTACTCCGCATACTCGTCCAGGCCCGCCTTCCGTGCCTGACTAGCATCCCACTGCTCTGCCGGTGAACGAGGACCCTGAACTGGCGGATAAGATGGTCCCGAACCCCTGCCGAGATCCCTCCTGATGCCAGACTCCCGGTCGCTTGATCCGCCCAGGAACTGGTCCGACCGGTTCGACCCCACCCGGTCCAAGCCACTCTGGTCGACCCAACCCGGTCAGCCCTCCTCGACCCAGCCCATACCCGGGCGGACGGTCCAACCCCCTGGCCGCGCCCCTCCCTATCGGCCCTATTCCGGGTTCGGCCCAATTCCGGGCCCTCTGATGCGGGCCCAGCTCCTCTTCCTCGTCCAGACTCAGCCACCCCAGCCCATTGGGTTCCCTGCCTTGGCCCATGTATTCGTGCGAGCCGAAATTCAGCTGGGGGCCCACGTCGTCATACCCAGGAATCTTCGCCTTGCCCTTCATGGCCGTGATTTCTCGGGCCGACGGGGTCGGCAACAGGCCCGACCCACGACCCCGCCCACGCGCCGCCGCCACCGCACGATCAGCTCGGGGCGGCTCTGTGTCCGCCGCCCTACCTCCCTCGGCCACCACGGACGCCGCGTCTGCCTGCGCCGCCACCGCCTTCGCCGCGAGCGACCCGCCTGCCCAGGCCACCGCGACCGTCGTGCCAGCCTGCGCCATCGTTGCCTTCGCCGCGGGTGTCCCGTCGACCGCCGCCTCCACCACGCTCGGGAGCTATTTCGCGGTGGTGGCTCCTCCGCCCGCCGCGCCAGTTGCGCCGCCCCCGTCGATCGCCAGCTCGGCAAGGCTCGGCGTTCCCATGACTCCGTTCCCCCTCGCCTGCAGCAAGGCAACCGCTCGCATCAGGTCCTCAGCCTCTGATGAAGATCATCAGCATCCGCCTTCGCGTCAGCCTGCACTCTCGCCAGGCTTTCTTTGATTCGTGCCAGCGCATCAGAGTGCTCGTGCACCAGCAGCTTCACCGCCTCAAGTTCGGTTTCGTCTTCCACCACCCCGTCGAGCCCTACGTCGCCCGCCTCGGTGTTTTTCTCAACTGCCTGAGCCGCCTTCTCTGCCGCCTTCATCGACTTTGTCGATACCATCGTTGCTTTCCCTGGTTCAAGTGCTCAAAAGAACTCACTCTCGAGCCAGGCTCTGATACCAGATGTTAGAAACAAGGTTTCTAACAAGTTCGGGATTGGGGAATTTAGCTAGATTAATTAAGGATTGATCTAACTAGGGATTGGGAATTGGGGATTTAGAACAAAGAAGAGGGGAGGGAGGTTTGCTGCTGCCGCAGGTTTTGGAAGAGAAGAGGGAGAGGGGAAACGCAGGAGAGAGAGAGGGAGAAAGATTAGGTTTTAGGTTTTTGTTCTGTGATTGCTTAATCATAAATAAGACCACTACTACAGATTATATAGTCTGCATAATTCCTATCTGCTACCCAAATAATAAAACGTAACAATTGACTCCATGTTTATTCCCCAAATACCCCAAATAATCCTCCAATTACTAAAAACCGGCAATAATACGAAATAACCAAAAACTGCAAATAACGTGTTTCCCACAAAAATGCACCATTTAATTCCAAAAACATACCTAAACCAAGTTCCCCTTCTTCTTGTCGGTGCCATCATCGGCGCCAGTGAAATTTCAGAGTTGCTGATAGAGCCAAAGGGGTGGAGGTGGTTTCAATTCTCTCTGGTTATCCAAACCATCGTTTGCTACAACTATGGAAGATGAAGGTAGTTTCTTTTTGGTGCTGGTTTCTTGCTGCAACTCTGGAAGCTGATTGTTAACGGCGCAAGAAGAAGGAACAGAGAATGTGGCAGCGTACGAGAAGGAATAAATCAATGAACAATGACGAATCATGTTCATCATGATACTAATCAAAAGAGAACATAGCAACCAAAAAATACTGAAGAAAACTCAAGTCGTAGCTCGCGATTACCGCCCAACTCACGATCCCTTTTTATAATATAAATATATAAATAACGATTTAATTATTTAATAAATTAATAATATTCTAATAATTCATTCATAAATAATAGAAAAATAACTAACTAATACAATAATTTTTTTCATAAACAATCACTCCACGTTTTAATATTATGAAAGAAACGAAAAATAAATTCATTGTCTACACTCTGAAGTAAGTCTCGTTCAATGAATCCCACTTAAATCTCGATTGATTAGGGTTTTGTTTCAGTTGGAATTTTTTATATTTTAATAAATTAATTTATGTTAAAAATAACTAAAAATTGGTTATAGTGTTGTAGCGGAACACTCCTACACCACCTTAAAATGTGGAGTATAATTCTAGGTATAGGCATATGTAGGAATATTTTTCTCCCAAAACTTACTTGTGTCTCCTGGCAGTTCCTAACCCCTCCCCCTCCGCTTATGGGCCCGAGAACGCCTTCCCGGCCCACAACATTTATGTTGCTCCATGTCAGCAAAATCAGGGTCCAAAGCAAGGGGTGGGATGGGTTGCTAACCATCTATAGAATTAGCACCGTACTAACTTCAATAACATCCATTGGATTAAAATAATAATCATGCGGTCAGATTTAATGGAAGGATATTATAGTAATAAAACTAGGAAACCCTAATATGAAAAGGTCTCTACACCCCCTCTCCACCATCACGGCCGCCTCACTCCTCTCTTTCCTCAAAATGAACTGCCTCAAAGCCCCTCCTCTCTCTATCAGATCTGTCGAGCGACAGAAACCCCATCAAGTATGTCGACCACCGGCCGATTCCGCTCCAACGCCACTTCTATGCTTCGCCTTAGTAGGGAAGCCTTGCGGAGATTAGAGATACTCACGACCGAGATTCATGTTCGTCGCGAGTCTCGCCGTCAACGATTTCGTCCGTCCGGCGATTCCTCAGAGCATACATCAAATCCCAGCGATCGAGATGAATCATCACCGCCCATCGATCTGAAACTCGTAGCCTACCTCGAAGTGTTTTCGACAAGCGGGATGTGCGTGTCGTCTTTCAAGTTCCCTATCGACGACAGCGTTGGTGGAATCGTTCATCGGAAGAGCGGCGGTTCATAATCCTCTAGGGTTTGCGGAGTTGAGGGAGACCAGAGAAAAAAATGAGATGCATACAAGCCACTGGGTTTTGCGATGACACTAGTATTCGTATTAGACTATTAGTAGCGTTTCTTCTGTAGTGATATGATTTGTGTTAGTAGTGGTTCGTATCACTAATGTGATTCATATTAGTAGTGATTGTACTGTGTAGGTGTTTTTTCGTAGTAATATTTTTATCTATTAGTAGTGATTTGGTCGCATGAAATTCTCTAAATTACTAAGTAATAATGATCTTATTTGTTTATTTCAGTTTCTATCACCTAAATACTAATAAATCACTACTAATAAAAATTAGATCATTACAAAATATTTAAAACAACTACTACTTTTTCACAAGCTATTTTTTATGGAGACAAAACATATATTTCAAAAATTTTAATTTTATAATTAATTTTACTTTTTAAAATACCTAATATACCCTTCACTATATAACACCGCCAGATTCAATTAAAATTAATGGATGGTAATTAAAGAAGTTAGCATGGTGCTAACCCCTATGAAGTTAGCACCCTAGCTTCTCCCCCAAAGCAATGCATTCAAAATCACGATTATATATAGAAGCGTTTTGTTGATATAGAAGCGTAAGTAGAAGCGTTTTGCTGACCTATAAGTATAAAAGTATAGGCTTTTAAATTTTAAACCACGATATTGACTATATTAGTACAAAGTCCAAACCGGTTGGTTCGAGTAGATTTTGGTTCGACTCATATTTGGTGTATGACACTGCAAATTCATGTTATGCGTATGCAATTCAATTCTCCCTCTACATTCCTTTTCTATATATATATAATTTTTTTTTTTTTGTAAAAGTAGTACTAAAATGGCACAACAAAAACACCCATTTGGTGACGACACAAAAGTCATTCCATGGTTAATTCAAACAAAATCCATGATATTTTCAACATAAGTCACTTTATAATATTAACTTAAATAAGGGCTATGCCCTGGAAAAACAAGAGTGAGTCGGGAGCTGTTCTGTCTCATTCCTTTATGAGAGTGCAGATCCGGTGACTAAGGGGGGTGTTTAGTCACTTGACTAAGCCCCTCTCAGCTCTTAGATCTGGACACATCAATCTGATGGTTGAAAAGTGGGAAGGGTTATTTAATTAATGACAGGGGTAGTTTGGATATTATGAAAAATTACGAAATATACAAACCGGACTTACAATCAGTACAGACCATACAAACATACGAACAATACAAACTAGAGCGACAAAACATACAAACATATTTACAAACATTAGAAACATATGAACTGTACAAAAAATACAAACTAGACCGACAAACAATACAAACCATACAAAAAGAAAAAACAACCAGGTTGACTTTGGAGGATCCATCCCTATATAGAGGGGCTCCTTCCCAAAGTCAACCCGGGTGTTTTTTAGACATACAAACAGTACGAACATGGTGGACAAAAATGACAAACTAGACCGACAATCCATACGAACTGGAAAAAACACCCGGGTTGACTTTGGAGGCTCCATCCCTATATAGAGAAGTTCCATCCAAAAGTCAACCAGGTTGTTTTTTAGACATAAAAACATTACAAACATGGTTGACAAAAATGATAAACATGGTGCACAAAAATAACAAAGTTTACAAAAATTACAAAATAACAAAGCATACAAACATTACAAAATATATCAACAAACATCACAAAGCACTGTCGTCGGAAAATTCTTCTCCGTCGATGACCGGAAAAAAATTTCCGACTAGGAAATCTCTCTCTCTCTCTCTCTGGACAGTTGCGAAAGCCAGTATGAGCAAAAGCATTACAACCTACAACAAAATCCAACGTTAGCAGCTTCAATTGGACAGAGTTCAAGCAGGGATTCGGCCATTTACTCAAACCCTTGTTCCTCATAAGGAAAAGACGTGAATTCGCATTATAGAACTGGACTGCCTGAACTATAATTCAATTACCTCGTGGCTATCGGAGACGGCGGAGAGAGAGTCGACGAAGGCCTTGCCGTATCCGGTGGAATTGTCGATCCAGAGGAGGTTGAGCAGGAATAAGACGACGCCGAGGATGACGGAGAAGTAGAGCCAAGATGAGAGCTTTTGATTCTCCAATTGAAACATAGCAGAGTCCTCACCAATCGGCGGCGGTTCATCCGCCGGAGAGTCGACATTCCGAGGAGAAGAACTCCAGACCAAGGAATTGGTAGATGAACGAAGACTACAGTTCGCGGCGCGGCGGAGGGAGGAGATGAGTGTGTGAAAGGGACGGGGACGGAAATGGGCTGGGTTAATTTTTTTTTATTCCTTTTATATTTAAAAATTAAAAATAAACATGCAATTACTACACTGCCCTTCATTAAATTGGATTAATAGGAGTCCTTAGATTTTAATGAGGTGAAAGAGTGGAGATTCACTTAGCCATGTGACTAAGGGGTCCCCTTAATCACCTGATCTCAACCCCCTTTATGACTAGGAGAATTAGTTATGGAATTATTTAGGTCAAGTATGATTTGGTATGTGTGTCGTCAAAGCCTATTTTAGAACCCGACGCTAAATTGAGCTATGCAGTCCATCTTTTGCTTCTTTTCCAACAAGCCAATGAGTTAATTAGGCATTGATTGTAGCTCGGCATGTTCAAGATTTTTGTATATAACCATCGATCTATTTATACATTTTTTATGGTCAAACCTGAACAAAAAATCGAGGTGTTAAAGTCCTTTCCAATCAGTAGGCCGACCATCTAATGGGAACAAAAATAGTAACTATACTAGGATATGTGAAGATAAACACAAATGTAGGACTTCTATCGACATGAGGGATTGATCTAGGCATGGTTGTTCCGGATTCAGAGGGAAGATTCTTGTTGGCTGCAGTGAAGTGGCAAAGAGAGACTAGGGAACTAGAGCTCACAAAATGACTAACTAAGGAGCTGTGAATATGCCTTGCACTAGAAAAAAATTACCAAAATGTTGCGGTAGAGAGCGATTGCTTGAATTTGTGTATGAAGGTATAACTCAATCAAGAAAATGGTAAAAAAAAGCCCCACCTCATTCCAACTTTACGCTCAATTCCCATGCACATTACCTCCTTCGCACCTGCGTCCCTTACCTCCTCCACACCCCACCTGAAAATAACCACTTCCTGAATATCGGTCGGCGACTGCTATTTCTTCCTACTTATTTCATCACCGGCCATACTATCCACCAACATTCTTTGTATGTGCTCTCTTTCCCTCTGAAATGACTATTGCCTCATTGCACCGCCATTGTCTGACAAAACCCACACTCTTGGTGATAGAAACCCGCCCCAGCGGGTTGGGTGAATGGCGTCGGGCCACCAGTGGCATATTTGTTATTTCATGTTCTTTAGAAATCCTATTTAAGGGTTCAACAACGTACTTTTCAGATTAAGCAATTATAATCAAAGAATTACCAATCCCTAATCTCTCTCTCTCTCTCTCTCTCTCTTGTTCTTTCCCAATCTCCCAAATCCCTAATTTCTTCTCTTCCAATCCCTAATTCTAAACTCTGGTTTCTATCATCTGGTATCAGAGCCAGCATGAGCTCGTCACAGCTCTATGATTATGAATGGACTCAACTACAGGAGCTGCTGCGTCAGACGTTGGACCGACGGGAGCAGGAGGCTCGGCTGAGGGCAGAGAAGAAGGAAGGAAGTGGCACCCCAGCGGCGCACTTGTCATCACGGCCAACCGCGCGCGCAAGATGGCGGGGCTGAGGAGGATTCCGGAGGGACCGAGGCGAGTCGCGGCGGGGCCGAGGCGGAGCGCGGCGGGGCTGAGACAGAGGCGGAGCGCGGCGGTGCTGAGACAGAGCGCGGCGGGGCCAAGGCCGATCGCGACGCGAGGCAGGGGGAGCCGACAGTCGTTTCGCTGCACTCCATGGCGGGGCAAGCTTCGCCGAGGACGCTGCGGTTCCGAGCAGCAGTGGAGGGATGGATGGCCATGACCTTAGTCGACAGTGGCGCGTCTCTCAACTTCATCAACATGGAGTTTGCCAAGACACTGAGCTAGGAGCCCACTGCGGTCAATTCGATCACCGTCAAAGTCGAAAATGGAGTACCTATGGGGTGTAGGCAGGTGTACCGAGGTATGACTCTCACTGTCCAGGGGTTAGACATCACGGCCGACTTGTATGTGCTACCAATCAGGGGGTTCGATGTGATCCTCGGGATACCATGGTTGAGAAGCTTGGGTCCAGTAATTAGCTATTGGAGAAGCTTGACCATGTGTTTCAAGTGGAGGGATAAGTAGTGGACCTTGCAGGGGCTCACGACGCCGATGGGGCCCATCTACATTCGGGAATGCGCGTCGGGAGGGGAGGCCGAGCTGGCCGTGCTTTGCTTGCCGCTGGCCGAGACGGCGAAGGCAGAGATCAACGCCGAGCTGCAAGGGTTATTGGATCGGTACCCGGAGCTGTTCCAAAGCCCGACTACACTGCCTCCACATCGAGAGGTGGACCACCGGATTCAGTTGAAGGAGGGGGTGGAAGCAGTGAATGTTTGACCTTACCGTTATGGACACTCACAGAAGGAGGAAATCGAGAGACAGGTGTCCGAGATGTTGGAAACTGGGCTGATCTGGCCAAGCACCAGCCCTTTCTCTTCACCAGTCTTGTTGGTCAAGAAGAAGGATGGAACTTGGAGGTTCTGCACCGACTATCGAGCTCTCAATGACGCAATGGTGAAGGACAGGTTTCCCATTCCAACTGTAGATGACATGTTGGATGAGCTACACGGGGCGGCCTACTTCACCAAGTTGGATTTGAGGGCCGGGTATCACCAGATCCGAATGCAGGAGGAAGACGCGCACAAGACTGCCTTCAGGACGCATAACGGGCACTATGAGTACCTAGTGATGCCGTTTGGGTTATGTAACGCCCCGTCCACATTTCAGGCGGCCATGAATGACATAATCCGACCTCTGCTGTGACGGTATGTCCTGGTGTTTTTTTATGATATTCTAGTATACAGCCCGAGTT